CCATTTTATGTTTAGGAGAATAATCTCTGCTCACTAATACCTCATTCAAACCAACGCAACTCCGGTTCAAGCTCCGTGCTAGAGCTTTTCAGGTTCAGAACCGGTTCTTCGGTTTAGCTCTGGCTCTTTTCACACCGCCCAGAGGCCGACTGGTGCTGCGTCATTGCGTCATCGTTTGCGTCATGACGTAACCGTTTGCGTGCCTGCTTCATAAGGCCAAACCGCGCGAAGCGCTTGCACAGCTGACACGACACCAACAACAATGGCCGATCTGTGATCCAGCTTCTCTGTACCTCTTCGGAAGACCAGATTCCCCAGTAGTAGCTGTCTTTCAGTGGACCACTGCTGGTGTAAATGTAAATGACTGCTACTCCTATATAGCGCTTTATTCCATTCTTAACCCTTCAGTGCTTTTACCATAGCAACATTTACCATTCACCATTTACACCCTATCTACAGAGAGTGTTCTTACTCTAGGACCTAACATTCACAACATTACACGACCGTTGCCATGCCATCGTGAAGCAATCAGGGTTAAGTATTTGCCCTAAGGATACAATCGAGCACGTTGACTGCATAGGCTGGTTATGAACCCACTACTTGCTGTAGTTAAATGCTTTGTGAATACGGTAGCTGGTCTCTTCAGTGGACCACTGCTGCTTGTTAAGTTTCTCCATCGTTGTGTACAAACTGGATAAAACGCCGGCTTTTTGTTGTTGTTCAGGAGTTGATCCCGCCCCTGCCCCCGCCTCGACGTAAGCGTGACGTATGCGGTGCTTTTGCTCTGGCCGGACAATTTTTTGGTGCTCGAAATGAACCGGATTCCGGAGCTAAGAGGCTGCTCCGCTGCGGTGTGAAAAGGAAAACACGGTGCTTTTCAAGCTCCAGCTCCGAACCGGCCCTGAAACACCGTTGGTGTGAATGAGGTATGTGTGTAAGACACTCTGCATGAGCACATGAGTAAAAAGCTTAATGTACTAATGACAACCAAGCTGTTCTAACAACAGCATTACACAGTGGGATCAAGTAGTAAAAAGGTAGCAGTAAAGTAAGCCTAGTCAAGCTCAAGCTAATCTGCCAGTTACTGTGACATTGTCATCATGTCAGGTGGTTTGATTTATTCACTATGGTTTTGGTTTCTTTACAAGGTATTACTGGATGCTAACTGACCACATCGATCTCAGTGTTGGAGTGTCCCATGTTGCAGACGATGCAGCCGTTCTTCATGCGGTCCAGGTACTCTCTCACCACCACGTTCTTATTGCCTGATGGAGGAGGAGATGATAAAGGAGGAAGAGAAATGGTCAGGAACAGATTAGAGCTCACAAGCAAAACGAGAGATTCAAATAGGGAGAAAGCAAAAAAGGTGAAATTGACAGAGTTTTGTCAAATGACTTTTCAAACAGTCTTCAATAAGGTTCAAATAAATATATAGGGGAATGAGTCCATTTCTGTAAAACTTGGTTTTATTGCTTTTAATTTAACAATTTAGCATTGTTAAATTAGTATGGAAATGTTAAACCAAATGATATATGTATAAGTTACATTTTCGGTTGGAAATATGATAAAGGATGAACTCAGCTGCAAAGGATATGATACATGTAGTCAGTGGCCGTTTCTCAATGTCGAGTAAAGCTGCTCCAGAGCCACTATTTCGCATACTACGTCATCGGGTGGCGCCGAATCACTGTTTAAATGCCCAGCATACATGTGCTACTGTGCCCAGCATACATGTGCTACTGAGCAAGCCTCCTCGACATTGAGAAACGGCCTATGTCTTCATTATTCTTACTGATAATAGCTTATCCCTGTATTTCACTTAACAATCATTTGCAAGAAACCGACAAGCTTAATGGATTCAAAGCCTATACTGGTTTATTTATTTACACCACTTTCTAACTAAAAAGGGAAAATCTGACATGAATCCCATACAGCTTCTTCTACCTCTTATCTGTCATATTGCAGTCACCCTGTGAGAGAGCCCCACTGCTTCAGGCCTGCCAGCGAAACATTAAGTAATGACGCAGAGAGGCGAGTAATTCTCCGCTCTAATTAAGTGCAACTCCCTGGCTACTGATCTGAGAACTTGATTAGTGACTGTTTAGACCCCGCCGACAAAGACTGAGAATCTGCGCGGTCATCCTGAAGAAACAATGAGAGACCGGCATGTTCCTCACACAGAGGGCCACGGATGAGGCTGACCTGTGCAGGTGATGACGATGTCCACCTGTCTGATGACTTCATTCAGCTTCACCAGCCTGAAGCCGTCCATGCTGTGATTGGGAGATAAAAGGTGTGAGGCTAATGAAACACAGCAGTGGTGCATAGGAAGTGAAACGAGTGGAGTCTTACCACGCCTGCAAGGCACAGATGGGGTCGATCTCTGTGACGTACACGATGGAGCCCATGGCTTTGAGGGCAGCGCAGCAGCCTTTTCCCACCTGCGAGTGAACGAGATGAGATTATATTATACGGTAGTGAGACAGCAGGTGGTGTTTCATTGAGAGCCTGTGCAGTTGGTTTATGGCAGCTGTTGTGTCACTGGACATCAATTGTTATTTTTTTCTTGAAACAATCAAATGTTTTCTTTATTTAGAGTCACATTACAGCCTTTTTTATTTAGTTACTCATTAAAGAATGTTCAAAATGTTCAGATTGTTATTGAAGGAAACTTTGTCTGCTTTTAGTTTTGAGGTTTAAAAAAAACGTAGAAAATGTAAACAAAATGGTCACTTCCGGGAAAATGCATGCATCCACATAATCCCAAATGTCCTTACATGTCGTCAAATGTAACTTGGGTGATTCTTTCACAGAAGCAGCTAAACTCACTACTCCAAATTAGTATTTTATTTTGAATACTAGTAGATGTTGAATGTAGAAACCCAAACTGGATGTCCCGAATAAAAGTTTATTTTTTATTTTTTTCACCCTTCTTTATAAACATAATATCATTTTCTCCAAACTACATGAATTATTCAACAGTTTTCCTATAATGGAACATTCAGCAAAACAGAATACATTTGTATTATACATACTAGCCAACGCTAGAGATGGTGAGGATTTTCTATTCAAAGCTTTTTAAGGACCCGTCACAATTTATATGAAAAAAGCAGTTAAAGTGGACCTATCATGCTATATTTGAATAATATAGTGTAGAACCATACCTATATAAGGCATATTTATACTTTTTATTTTTCTAAATACCAAACAGATCATGCATTTTAGCCATTCCTCATTTCGCTCAATTTAACACTGTCTTTGCATGGGCTGATTCTGTGAGAACAGCACCATCTACAGGCCTGGCATATGTACTACAGCGTCTCCA